TTTGGAGGCCAAGTGGCATAACCAATTAAATCAGTAAGAGGCTATTAAAGAACCACGACAACTGTGACTTTGGCAGAAGCTCCACTTCCCAAGGAATACACAAAACAAGGTTTCTACTGAAGAGCCTAATGGGGAAACTCATCTTCCAAAAAGGATCAAAATCTCCCTCTGCTGGGAAGACGAAATCTGCAACTACTAAAATAGCTTTAAAATTCAAGCGCAAAAAGAACTAAGATTTTAGTAATTCCTTAATTAGTATGTTACAGATGGGCTGGGATTTTGCCCCCAGATATTTAAACTAATTGTCTCTTGTTTCTGTCAGTTACTGTCAGATGACATAAATCAAAATACATTTTTTTTTGAAACACAAAGGAATGGGAACACATTAATTATTAAAATGAATAAAATGACACAATGGAAAGACAAAACTGCTACAGCAATCCAAAGACAATAATGCTGAAATACATAAAGCTAATTGCCCATTTCAGCCATGTATGTGTGACATTCTCCATCTCCTACAGCGTAAGAAACATCTTTCTTGTTCAGCGCTGCATTGCTTTCTCCTATCCACTTCTAACACACCTTCCATTTACACTCACTGATTAATGCAGAATAAGCAACTTCTCTTGCAACACAAAATATGCGAAATGTTAAGGTAGATTGTGTGTTTAAGTTTATGGATAAAGCTTTCCTATATGAGATTGATATGTAGTTTCTAAGAATTTGGCCACTCAAATCCAAAAAACTAGAGCAGGTTTTCCTTCTGCTTTGAGAAGAATGACTTCAGGGATGTATTTTAAAGCACATCCAAATCTTAATGATGTGCTTGAGACCTTGGAAAACATTTCCATTACCACAGAACACTGCCATGAAACCATTACCATGCCACTCATGTAGAAACAGGGAAAGGGCTTGGAGATCTGGTGAATTTGTTTTGGCTAACTTATGAGAGACTTTAAAAAAGGTTCTTTTAAATTAATGTTTTTATTGGTATTTTGTTTCTTTTTGGAAGATTTGAAGACGAGAGACACATGGAGGACAGCAGGTTAAGGAAAACTGACCCCCACCCTCACAGTTAGTTCAGTGCTGTGACTTTGCTGCAAAGTTGCCTGCCCTGGTGCAGCTCCCTGCAGCAGGCAGGGCATGAGTGGGGGACGATGGCCCAGCGTTGCTGCAGACCAGAGCAGCTCTTCAGAGAACCACTGCCCCCGAACAGACACCTGACAGGGCCCGCAGCGAGTAGCTGGTGCCGCGCTCACACACGGAGGTGAGCAGGACTTGGGACACACAGTCTCCATACGGAAGGGATTTCCCCTCTAGCCCTTCTATCCTCAGTGTTATTTCTTCTGCTTATGCAGAGAGAAAGACTCATTTCTATTTCCCACCAGGGACTGACAGGCCCAGCTAATATTTGTGAAGCACCTGGAAGATGCTGTTTTCTTAAATAATTCATTGCAGTACTACTTATGACAATCATGTGCATTACACAGTGCAGAAAAGCACCGGGCCTCAATGGAATACAAGCCAGGCTATGATATAACTTCAGGTAAGTGCCTGCAGTTGCAGTGAAAGCCACCTCTTTCTTCAACAGCTGCTTTAAGTAGAGAGGGAAGAGAGCAAGAGCTGCAACTGCACCCCTTACCAAGGCTCTCCTGCACCACAGCCTTCCCAGGTGCTGCAGAACCACTGCTGGTGGGGCAAGATGAACCCATGCATTTAGAACAATAGGGAAATCAGGGCTAATTTTTCTTACACTTACACCTTATATTAATCTGTGCAGCCCTTTGCCCGCTGCAGCTCTTGGCACTGCCTGTGCTGCCTCCAGGCTGTGCAGCCACACACACCACGCCGGCCTCACCGCTGCGGGCAGAGACACCCACTCTCAGGCGACCGAAGCTCACTACAGCTTTAGACAATAAAACTCTGGAATATTAAGTCTTATGACAAAATCTCTTTAAAGGCTCAATTTTGTGCAGGTGCAGAGTGCAGAGCCAACTCAGAACCAAGTGTTGTGAGTTTTCTTTTTGTATTTCTCAGCTTATTACTCTCAGGAACTCTTTTTAGGTAACAGTAAACACAATTTGGGTGCAACACAAATATTCTTTCTGCCTCACTGAAGGCTACGTTCCCAAAAGGGTTCACCTTTTTCACCAGCATTACAGCAACTGGATGTCTGACCAAACAGAAGTGGACATAACTCCCTCCAATTTGGTCAACCCGGATCCTCCATCCTTGACGGGCAGGAAGAGCTTTCAAGCCAGGCTTTCCCTCAGGATGATCACGTTGCACATCTTGTTTGAAGTGCACAGGATGGGAACATGAGAGCTGCTTGTGAACTCCATAGCAAATAGTTCCCTGGAGGGATTTAATCTCCTTTCATGTTCAAGAAATACGGGAAAATATTTTTTTTCTCTTCAAAAGTACTCTTTTAAAGGTATGAAGCTAATTATTTTCACAGTTTAAACTATGCAAGCTGATGATAGATGTTTAATTTTCAGTTATTGAGCTTAATTAATTAACTAAATATGTCTTTATATAATATCTCAACAATGGGATTTGTTAAGTCTGTAAAGATTTCCAGTACAAAGATATATCACTAGATTTAAAATTCTGTCTTGTGGATATTCACTGATATATATCCTTTATATATACTGATATATCCTTTATATTCACTGATATATATTCCTTTATATATATTTTTCTAGTAATGTACCTTGATCAAAAGTGAATATACACACATGCATTTATGTAAAAATGTGAGTGAAATTCCAGACATATTCTCCAGCAATGTGTGTGTGTACCCACTATATTATTGTACAATGCCATTACAATACTGTAAAGGACTGAACAGAGTCTATCTGGTAACATGAAAATAATATTAGCTACGGTTTGATTTTAAATTATACTTTTCCTCTTCTCATCTTATAAAAGTTCCAGGTTTAGTAAAGCAGGGAGCAACACACTGTTTCATCCTCTAAAAAAAAAAAGGTGGAAACTTTCTTGTAACATTAGGATTCACTATTTCGGCTCCGACAAGCCTTATACACCTCTCCCACATATAACAAGGAACGAATCTACCTCTGGCAAACAACAGCACAAAAGCATCTGCTTCATGATTTTCCTGCAAACTTGTTTTGTAGACATGGGTGAGAATTATTTCTCTCCTTAGGATGTGGAGACAGAGAAACAGAATGAGACAGAGAACAAGCGAGATTTACTACGTATTTTAAAATAAAATCCACACAGTCTACAATGTGAAGTTTGTCCTCTATTTAGGACTTTCATGAGCAGTTACAACAAAACATTTATCACTGACTTTCTCTCAGACTTGCTTGACTTTTTCACATCCTGTATTCCTTTGCTATGAAAATCTTCCCCTTTCCTTTATGTTTTGATGAAGTAGTGAAGTTCAGCAAATCACTGGGACTTTGTTAACTGTTTTTAACTTTATCAGCTAATAGGTTAATTTTCAACACAGCATTTAAGTGCAGCATTTAATTTTTTTTAACTGACTCTGTTGTATGTTTCTAAAAACAACAGCTAATTCAAACAACAACTACTCTCATTTTTCTCACATCATCTATGTCTAAATATCTGCTTATCTTGAGAATTTGAGAAACAATGGAGACTAAGCAACAGAGATCAAGGACTAACTATCTTTTACTTAAACTAGCACCATCCCTGTCAACTGCTGATCATGAAAAAGCAAAAATATTTATTCTGTTGATATTTTCATGAACTGACAACCTGGAGATGTCACAGACCTGTAAGATTTCTTTTGGAGAAGCAATAAAGCAGCAGTAACCTCTTGCTGTCTGCTAGTGTTGACAACATCAGGATCTTGTCTCTATATATGGCAACAGGGAATTGGTTCATTTTTGGGTATTGTTAGTATTAGCATTTTAAAATGCAGGCAAAACTTTGCATGAACTTCCATCTCACACTTCCACGTTTTTGCAATATCTTTATTAGGGTAAATACAATGGCAGGGCTTCCAAATGCAGGGCAGTGAGGTAGCAATAAATAAAATGGTGATAAAATTCTACTGCTTAAGGCAGGCATTTAATTGCATTTGCCTTCTTTTAATCACATGATTTCCCTACTGCTGTGGCCCCTACATCACAGTGTGTCAGATCATGCTTGCCTTCCCCATTTCCTCACCCATTCTGTCTAAAATTCTGAGCTGGAATATAGTGCATTTGGGGGGGCGCGGGGGGAAGTATTTAATTTGGGAGGCTTTAATCACAAGATAATGGAGAGTAATCTAAACCTTAAGTGATCTATTATGTACATAAATAAAAGCAAAGTTAAAATTTTCAATATTTAACTTTCATTTTATGTTCATCTTGATTTCATTGTTCCTCTTTGTTAACAGCTTTAATAGCAATAACAAATCCTGCCAACTGAATGCATATAATGCCTTGTAATTTTTTATTTGATTGTACAGGTGTGTGACATTAAAGGTTCCACTGCACAGCATCATTGATCTGGCTGTGGAAGAAAATATTCAAAATTTTTGCACCTGAAAACTATTCAAATAGAAGTAAAAGGAATAAAGTAGCAATATGAACCTCCATGTATACCATAATACCACACGGATAAGCTTGCTGAATGAAACCAGCACAAGACATTTTTGGCAACAGGAATTGCTAATTATAACATATTGTCATTAAAATAAAAATAAACTATTAAGTGTTTACAGTGTTTATAAAAAGTGTATGCCAGTTTCAACTGTATGATAAACTGGGTTATCTAGAACTGAAATTAGGTTATCGAGAATTCTAGTTCTCTATAAAATATTCAGAAGCACATGAAAAGACAGAGTCAGCTTTACCTCTTGTCTCATAGGAACATCATTTCTGAAAGTGTTTTTCAATACTGCCTCCTTTTTTCATTCCTTTAACACACTCCTAGGGCTCCTTCCACAAGAAGGAAACCCGCCCGGACAGAAAAAGAAGTTTACTTAAATGCAGCACAAAACACAGTCAGTGCAAACCTACCTGAAGCACCTTCCACCTCGTGTTCAGGTCCTCCACGCAGCTGAGATTGTACTGGGAGAGCTGAACGTCGGCGGGGCCGAGGCGGCGCGCCAGCTCGTTGACGTGATGCACCTTCTCCTTAAGGGGCACGAGCTCTGCTCGATAGACCTGCGCCAGGAGACATAAGCCAACGTGAGCAACAGCTCCAAGAAGGAGCGATTATCCGACCGCCCCAACAACGCCGCAGCCGTGCCCCACGTCGAGCTGAGAGCGGGGATTGAACGGAGCACGAGGTATAAAGTTCTATACAACTTTATGAGCTTTGTAAGTCTCTGTGGTAAGGCCTGGCATTTCAGAAGGTGATGATATAAACGAGAGCCCTCACAGCAATTTTTTTGGCAAGCTAAACCTAATCCACTGCTTGCTCTGAGGGATGCTTCTTGCCGCTCTCATTTTTTATGTAGCATGTTCCTCGGGGTGGACAGGGTGGTAAATGCTATTTAAAATATCAAAACAGAGGCAGACCACAGTATCCCCCTACAGTGAATAAACAAAATGAAAAAATAAAAACTGAACTAACAGTGAAAAAATAAAACTAAAAACCTCCTTGCTATGAATCCCAAACTGGCCTACATGCCTCTGTATTTCAGGAAAACAAATGAAGTCACCCTTAAAGTTAAGGGTAACAGCAGTCTAGTTTAGTAATTTCAATAATGAATGTGAAAAGCAAAAACAGCTAGTGTCAAGCATCTTGATTTTAATAGAAACAAACTGATGATGTTTCTGAGAATCTAGTAAGAGCATCCCCAGAGTCCTGCAGCACAGGCCCCAGACAGCACACTGGGAGTCTAGCAGAGAGAGGACTTTCTGCACAGATCTTCCCCTGTCCCATATCCATCTTCTCTAAGGAGACATTTATAAATCTTTAATATGATAAATTGTGTCAAAATGTACAACGAGCCATGTTCAAGGGACAAATTCTGTCATTTTCAGGAGGACATTAGGTAAGGTGAGTTCTGCACAGAGATATAGGATAATCACTGGCAAAGTTAGTCTGCCTTTCCAACTCCTCTCTCTCATCACTTTTAATACAGATCATACGTAGTCTGCATCTCATTGCGGCTGATCAAGAAACCTGAAATGATTGCCTGCTAATACCAAAATGTGATGAAAACAACATTCAAAAGAAACCCCCAAAAAAGCAATATCTGAGTGAACTGTAAGAATCTGGACACTGTGAGCAGCATTAAGACACCACAGAATGTAATGAATTGGCCTAACAGCAAGCATCATGGAAAAAAATGTCCCTCCAACCTCATTAAAGGTTAGATTTGACTTCCAGTTTGCTAAATCAAAGCCCACAACACAAGGAGTTAACGCAATTCAATGCAGTGAGTGACTGCAATGATACATGTACAAAATGCCCAGATGAGCAGCGACGTGCGCTTTGTAAAGGTGAGAGCAGGGAATGATGCACGTGCCCCGATGCGAGAGCAGTGGCAGAGGCCAACTTCACCACACACAGCTCTCTTCTCCATCTCACCAGTTTTATGCCACTGAAACACAAGTATGTTACTGGAGGGAATACTGAGGTACAGTGTTGTGGGAAAAGTAGGGTCTGGGTGAAAAAGAAAGGATCCAGGATGTTTGTTCCTGGATCCAGAATTATGCGTGTACTTCACCTGAATATTTAAATCAATATTTGAGCTCAGAAGAACAGCATTTGTTCTCAGAAGATAAAGAACTCAGTGACTGAAGATACACGACACATGGTTACATTTCTCTTTCTCTTGTCCGACCATGCAACTTACTGCCTGCCAGTTTAAGCGGCCAAGTTTCTTGGCCATGACATTGACTTATACTGGGGATGGTCAAATGAGCCCTGTATTTGTATGCAAATTACTGCTAGAATAAGTGGAAATCATCTGGGGCAAAGAACAGCTCCTGCACCACAGTGCACTTTAATGGAGATCCTGCACTAATGCAAGTTCATTTGTTATTCATTTGTAGAGTAATAGAATCAGGATTTAATTGAAAACTTTGTTGCTCAGGCAAAGTGCATGGACCTATGCCTATAAACCACTTGTGATTAAGCATATAATTAAATACCTGATCATTTCAGGGCAATTACTTGCATCTGAAATGTTGACTTGGAAGTATTGGTCTTACATGAAGAGTGCTACAAATGGTTATGTAAATCACATAATTATTATATCTAAATTAAGGGAAAATAAAGAATCTTCATGATTAGCCCACTTTCTTTTTTTTTTTTTTTTAAGTGACCATAAGTTATTTCATAGAGTGGTAAAGCTATGACACAGAAAGGAATAACAAGGAAAGAAATTAAACCATACTGATTTTTTAGAAAGTATTAAATAAAATGTATTTCTCTCACTTCACCCCATTTTGCGTTTGGCTTTCTTATTCTTTTTCTGATACAACAATGATGTTTGCAGCATTATGCTAATTTTGAAATATATAAAGCACAATATCCTTTTCACTGTATTTGAATTTGATGTTCTGTATTCTATTATTATCAACCCTGAACTTTCACTAGCACTTTTATTTGTCACTTGCATCAAAACACAACTGAGTAGCAACAAAAGAATGCTACTCACTACAAAGCTATGTAATTAATACAATGTAATTAATGTTTTAAATTCCAGCTAAAAACCTCAAGAAAAAAATATATCCATATTAAAATCTGGCAGATTATACTATATTGTAGTATTTAAAAGCTTAGCCACTCAAAGGCAAAGTTGAGTAACAATTCACCAGGGACAAGAGGTCCACCACTCAACATATATGATTCCTGAGGTACTTTGAGAGTAACAGAAAGTCAGTGTGAATTCCTTTTTCTTTCAACAAGTGTTCAATCAATTTTAAGAAATTGTGATAGTTTCTGTATCTTGCACTTTACTTCCCATCTGTAGAAGATACTAAGTATTTCTACTAGATTGTTATTTTCATCAGCATGATAGAAATGTTTTGCAGTAGTACTTATATTTTAATAATCTGTTTTTATATTTTACAACTGATTCATATTTCCATTATTTCTCATTCTAAATAAAAAATACTACACATATCACAGTTTTATATCATAAAAACATGCTGAACTGTAGTGTTTCTAATTTAAAAACAAATATACATGGTGAGTGGTGTTCCACTGCCACGAGGAGACCTATTTAAACCAATTAAATTGCTGAGGATTTAAATGACTTCTCAGTGTGAGCAGCAATAGGAGAAACAGCCCCGAATTATTTTCATTATGACTGTCCTTATGCAAGAAAGAATTTCAATAGGATGTGATACTGTAGGTGGTAGATTGGATTTTAAATGATCCGTACAGTCCTGTCAGAAAGTGTTTTAAAACTCCTTGGAAAATTAGCAAGAGCTCTACAAGACGTATAAGGTACAAAGCCTAACCTGCCAAATACAGAGTCTTAAACATGAGTGGCCATACACATCACAGACTCACAGAGTGGTTGAGGTTGGAAGGGGCCTCCAGAGATCATCCAGTCCAACCCCCTGCTCCAGCAGGGACACCCAGAGCACGGGGCACAGGGCGGCATCCAGGCGGGTTTGGAAGATCTCCGGAGAAGGAGACTCCACAGCCTCCCTGGGCAGCCTGTGCCAGGGCTCTGGCACCCTCACAGGGAAGAAGTTCCTCCTCACCTGGAGATGGAGCTGCCTGTGTTGCAGCTTGCACCCATTGCCTCTTGTCCTGTCACTGGCCACCACTGAGAAGAGTTTGGTTTGGTCTACATTCTCCCCTCAGGTATTTGTGCATATTGACAAGATCCCCTCTCAATCCTCTCACCCAGTCCCTCCTCTGTCAAGAGCCAATGCAGTTGCCTTGGAATGAACGTAAAGCCTAGGAAAGCAGGAGCTCCCCCTGTGCTCCTGGCTATTCTCTTCCAGCTCCACAATTTGTGCTTTGGACATTCTGGAGTGGGAAGTTGTACTTCTACATCACTTAGCTCTTGATGCACTCTTCTTCCATAAAATTGCCAGTATTTTATCAAACAAAACATATATGTTTTAGAGCAGGATGACAGGAATGACACTCTAACCTCCAGAAACTAAACTGAGCAGATTTTCCTTAGGCCTCAGGAACTCTGGAAGCCCAGAGAAGTAGCTCACAGGCAGACACTTGCGTGGCATGTGTGAAGTTAAGCAAGAGAAATCCAAGTGCTATTTTGTCTATGCTGTCCTTGCAGAGGAACTTTCCCCACCTCGAATCTAATCTGCTATACTTTTTTACATCGAGGGACCAAAACCCTGTGCACAGTAAACAAGATGTGGATATACCAGGGTCTTATACCATGGCATAACATTTTCAGCTTTGTTCTCTATTTCTTTTCCAGTATTCCTTCCAACATTTGATTCAGCTTGAACACTGTTGAATACTGAAGTGATGTTTTCATAGAACTATCTACTATAATTCCGTGATTTTTTATTTTGAGAGCAAGAGGAATGATTAAAAGGGCTAAATGAGAGCTCATCACTGTGCATTTAAAGTCGGACTGTTTTTTTTTTTTTTTTTCCACATGCACTGCTTTACATTTATCAACAGGGTATTTAATTTGCCACCATTTTACTTTACTTAGACCATTTACAGTCAGTACCGTGAGGTCCTTCTGTAGCTCTTTGCAATCCAGCCTCCTCTTAAGAGCTCTGAATTGATTTGTATCATGAGGAAGTGTCACTGCATTATTCATTCCCCTTTCCAGCTCATTGATGCACATGTCAAACAGAGTAGACTTTCTGGAGCAGAAACAATCTCCCTCTCTGGGAAAACTGAACATTTATCCCTGCCTATTATTTTCCATCTTTTACAGAAAATAACTAACCGAATAATTGGTTATTTACCCTCAGGAAGACCTTCTCTCTCATCCCACAGGAAGCTACTCTCTTTGGTTAAAAATCTCCTTGAAAACCTTTGGAAATTGAAATGGCTCTTACCCCATATCCACGTGCTCACAGTTTCCCTTCAAGGCACACTAGCAGATGTAATACATACCTTCTTATATAAAAGCTGTTATGTCTTTCCCAATATATTCTTCCCCTGATTTCCTGCTCTGTAGGCCCAGAGGTCTGATTGGTGTTGGTTCTTTTTTTTTTTTTTTTTAATGGAACTACATTGCCACCTTCCTGTCCTCATCAAA